CGGGCCGATCGGCGGCGCACCAACGACCGAGCGCGCCTCATCGTCCTGACCTGGTGCACGGGCACCGGGCGCGAGCGCGCCAGAGGCGGCCGAGAGCGGCGCGCCACTCCGCACGCGTCACCGCGCTCGCGCCGAATTTCGTCGGAGCGCTCGGGTGACGCAGTTGGGAGCGGGCGGTGCCGTCCGGGCACGGCAGAGCGGGCCGTCCGCCGGCCGGGCACCGGGTCGCGCCGACGCCGCCGGCCTTCCCGGAAACTCGGCCGGGAATAGCCAGGCCCGGGCCAGTATGGTGCGCGTGTCGCGCACTGGACACTGCGCATGGTGCGGTCGGGTCGGCCGGCCACCGGTATGCTAAGCGGTGCTGGCTGGACGCGATGGTAATCGCCCGCGCTTGTCCCGGATTTTCTCCCTGAGGAGACGGCCGGCGTAATTTAGCGGGCTGTCAAAACCGTCGGCGGCGTCGGGACGGCACTCACGCACATGCGTGCGGTTAGCCGGGGCTACTTAGTGTGGGTCTGTCCCGTCGGAACTGGGCTAGCGTGAGATGGAGCGTCGGAGACCTGGAGGGGAGGGACAGGGTGCGCGACGGGAAAGGTAGAAGAGACGCCGGCGCAGAACTCGGCGGATATGACAAGCTGTGGTTAGCGATCTTCACATATGTGAACGGTAAACACCTGATGTCTGTCATTGTGGACTCAGCGGGCCGCTTTCGCCTGGTCACTGTTAGAGGCCCACAATTGGGACTTGTTTTGGAAGGCCTCTACGCCGACTTATGTCCAGCTCTCAGGCGTGGCCGGGGCCATCTCTCGTCGGTCTCCAGGAGATCGCCAGTCCGGGTCAGCGCTGTCAGGCTTCGGGTCGCCATCAGTCCAGGTCACCTCCGTCACCTCGTCAGCTTTCCAGCAAACCCCCAGCCCGGGTCACCTCCGTCAGCTGTCCAGCGGGCCCCACCCTAGGTCACCTCGTCAGGCGTCCAGCAGACCCCTAGCCCGGGTCACCTCGTCAGCTTTCCAGCGGACATCCCGCCCGGGTCACCTCCGTCAGCTGTCCAACAGGCTCCACACCAGGTCACCTCCGTCAGGTGTCCAGCAGACCCCCTAGCCCAGGTCACCTCCGCCAGATGCGACGATGCTGATCCGCTAGCAGCCGTCTCACTTTCTAGTGATTCGTTTCGCCGCCTGTCTCGGCCGGCGCGGCTGGCCCGGCCGGCCCCGTGACCTTGTGTCAGCGCGGGCCGGCCCCGACCCCCGGCGGCGGCGCCGACTCCACGGGCGCCGGCTCTCACCGTCGAGCCGCGGCCGCAGGTCGCGTTTCCCCACCGCGCGCCGGTGGCTGGCTCGCCGTCCGGCGTCGCTGCGGATGACGTCCGACGCGCCCGGCTCGGACGGGTGCCGGCAGCGCGCCGCAGCCGCCGTCCGGGCGGGTGGAATGCGGCCGGCCCGTTGCGGGCGCGTGGCGGCATTCGGCGCGCCTGGCCGCCGTCGATGCACGGGGCTCCTGACGGACGATAATTGTGACGTCAGATGTGTAAATCACGTCGCTGAAGGCGACACGTCGCGCCGGCCTTGCTGGTGGACCCGTCAGAGCTGTCCCGCTTGCGTGCTGGGATTCGTCCTTGGTCCGCTCGCCTACGGGCTGCCCGGTAACACAGTGCATGGCGGTGTTGGTGGGCCACCGCTCCCGGCGCCTGCATGCTGGTTTCGCTGTGCTTTCGACAGCGATCACGTGCCGGCGCTTAGCCGTCTGATGACCACCCTTCTTTTGCCCTGTCACTTGACCGTTTATATCTATTGTGCGGCGACGCCATGTCATCGTGGCGTCTGTCTCATTACGTCAGACAGCTGCCGTGAATTCCTTCTCAAATGGCGACGTTCGGCGTCAGAATGTCATTCTCTCATTCTCGGGTGACATTCTCGTCAGAATGTCACCGGTTTTGGGTTTGGGCTGTGGGCTAGCATCGTTTTGGGGTTCTCACTGCAATGGATTTGGAAGATTACAACACGGATACCACAACAGATGCACGCTCCGTGAAGTAATCGGGCGTAATCGAGCAGAATTTGAATTGAAGAAGAGTCACCGGGTGGTTCTCACTTCGCTTTGGGTGGGCATCTCGGGCCTCAGCCGTGCTCATCCCTCGTGCTCCGGTGCTGGCCGTCGGCACCGCTTGAGTTTTCGCCGCTCTCCCGAAGATCGGGATACTAGTGCTGGGCATCTTACAGCAGTCTTCACGCTGTGAAAGCCAAGGCTGCGTTAACGCGCCGCGTCCTGCCACGCCGGAAAAAGGCAGAAATTCGATCGTTTTTAGGCTTTGTGTTCGGGAACTTGGCTGGATATTCCAGCCTCGTTCCCGTAACGTCTATTCCGTGTCCGTCGTCCTGTCTCACGGGCCGAGAGGGAACCGCGGTCACTCGCTTCAGCGCGCCGGGGCAAGGCTGGCAGCAGAGGCGGCTCCAGCAGTGGGCCTCGGCGGCGGCAGAGGCAGAGGCAGGGTGGCAGCGTTTCGCCGCAGGGGCACGGGCACAGACGGGCCGGACGCGGCGGTGCTGCATAGACGCGCCGAGCCGCGGATGGCACAGGCGCGGCAGCACTCCGCCGCAGACGCCGCGGCGAGGCGACGGCGCGCTCGCCACCGGCGGAGACGCAGGCTGGCGGTGGAGATCGGCGGCGGCGGGGTGCGCGCGGCAGGGCGGCGCCGACCTCCGACACGGATTTGTCTGGCGGGGCGGCGCGGCCTGTTCCATTTGTCTGGCCGTCGGATTTCCATAGCGGCACCTCCGCCGGCGGCAGACGACCCCGCGCGCCGGCCGCACGCTGCAGCGGCGCACGGCCCGTGGCCAGGGGCGCGGCCAGGTCCGCCGGGCTGGCGACGGGGCACGCTGTCGGCGAGGTGACCTTGGACGGGGTGGTGCGCTGCGGTCGGGTGTGGGTGGGGGGACCTTGGAGCACCTCTGGTGAGGCCCGCGCGGCCTGGGTCAGGGAACTGGCATGAGTGCAACCACTGGGGGCTGGGGAGACATGTTCCCCGCAATTTGCCAGAACGGGCCTTTGTCTCTACAATTTTCGCCGCCAAGAAGATGTGTTTTGCAATGTGTCATAAAAAACGTGCAAGACGTAGGGGTCAGATTGTTTTGTTCAGGTTCGCATTTGTCGCCCTCGTTCACACCGATATCTGAGTCGTTGCACCCGTGTCTATGGGAGCAATGAGTCGCCGCTAGTCCCTGGCGATGAAGAAAGTCTCGGCTAGTGGGGACGGCGCGGGTGCGCACCGAGATGTGCCGTCTGCTCGTGCTGCGCCATGGGAGCCGGCCACCGCCACAGACTCCTCCACTCTCACGGACGGGGTCGCCCCCAGACACGGCCGGGCGTGGGCAGCGCGAGTCGGGGTGGACGCGAACTGCGCTCCAATCACCCATCCAATCATCCCGCTGGCTGCAGCCGACTTTCTCTTTCCTCCCACTTAACGTGTCCGTTTAGCGGCGCGCCATGAGGAGCCCGGTGCGCTGACGTGCCGTAGCGCTGGGCACGTCCGGGCGCGACGACAGTAGCGGGACGCTTCAATCATTCGTCTCTCCTCGGCCGCACAGCTCGCCGGCTCCGCACGTCAGCCGGCGTCGGCGCCGCGACGCTGGCGACCCCCGCGGCCGCGCGCCCCCAATAAATAATCGCCAGCCCGCGCCGTCAGCGTGATTGATTCGGCAAGCGGCGGCGGCGGCCCGGCCTGTCGCCTGTCCGCGCCCCGCTGACGCCGCTCCGGCGGCGCCGCCGTCGCCGCCCCGGCCGGCTCTCGCGGGGTACGCCGCGCTCTATCAGCGACGGTATCCGGCCGCCGCCGCCGCTGGACCGCTTATCCAATTGACCGGAGCGGCGGTCAGTTCGCCGGCGCTCGCGTCACCGGCGGCGGCGGCGGCGGCGGTGACGCGAGCCCCTCGGCGGCGGCGGGTCAGGGCGGGCCGGCCTGGCCTCACCTACCCGAGCCGCGGCTCACGTCTGGTTGGACCCGGACGCCGGCGGCCACCACACGGACGGACGGGGGGCGCTCTGCACCACGCGGCGTCACGACTCTCGGCTCGCGTGCGGGCGGCCGCTCCGGGCTGGGCCATCTCTGTCTGTCTGCCTGTCCGTCTATCAGTCAGTCAGTCTGTCTGTCTGTCTTTGTCTGTCTATCTGCCTGCCCGCCTGCCTGCCTGCCTGCCTGCCTGCCTGCCTGCCTGTCTGTCTGTCTGTCTGTCTGTCTGTCTGTCTGTCTGTCTGTCTGTCTGTCTGTCTGTCTGTCTGTCTGTCTGTCTGTCTGTCTGTCTGTCTGTCTGTCTGTCTGTCTGTCTGTCTGTCTGTCTGTCTGTCTGTCTGTCTGTCTGTCTGTCTGTCTGTCCTGCCTGTCTGTCCTGCCTGCCTGCCTGCCTTGCCTGCCTGCCTTGCCCTGCCCTGCCCTGCCCTGCCCTGCCCTGCCCTGCCCTGCCTGCCCTGCCCTGCCCTGCCCTGCCCTGCCCTGCCCTGCCCTGCCCTGCCCTGCCCTGCCCTGCCTTGTCCTTGTCTTGTCTTGCCCTGGGATCTGCCGAGGTGTGCCGGCCCGCATGTGGGTCGGATCCGTCTGGTCGCGGCAGGCGTGCCAGCGTCTTCCTGCAGCTGTCAGTAATTCTCATCGGTGTTGCATGCGTCGGTCGGTGCGCGAATCTGTCTGTATGTGCGCCCATCTGTTTGTCTGTTTGTGTGTCTGTTTGCCTGCGCCGTCTGGGTGCCTGTGTATTTGGCTGTATTTCTGCATGTGTCTGTTGCCTCCTCTGTCTGTCTGTTAGCCTCTTTGTGTCGATCTGTTTCTGTGTCTGCCTGTCTGCCTGTCGGCACAGCTCGGCTGATGGCGGCAGGGGCGCGCCCAGGCTCGGCGCTGAGTCGGCCGGCCGCCCCGCCGCCGGCGCGCGCCGCCGCTCCTCTCTCCCGCTCGCCTCTGCCGGCCGTCTGCGGCCGGCCGCCCGCCGCCGCCGCCGCCGCAGTGGTAGCGCCACGCCACCGGACGGCGCGCGGGCCGTCGCTGCGAGCGCGACCCAGAGATCCGGCTGTGGTGAGCGCCGCTCGCTCCGCGTCTGGTGTGCGTTTGGTGTCGCCGTGTAGCCTGGCACGGCCCTGAGCGTCGCTACGTCCCCCGCGGCCGTGCGGAGCCGGGAGACAGTGGGTTGCGCGAGGCGGGCCGGCGCGGCCTCTCCCGACCGGAGTGCCGCCGGAGTGCCGCCGGAGTGCCGGGCGGATGAGTGGGTGTCTGCCCGGCGCGGCGGCCGGCGACGCCAGCTGACGTGAGGCCATGGTGTTGACCGGCGTGTACAGTGGACACGCCTACTACGGCTCCCGCGTCAACAGCCTGCTGTACATCGTGGTGAGTGGCGCGAGTGTGGGGCACGTTCGAGGAGTGTGCATCGGCTGCGGGGAGCGCGGTCGGCTCGTGACCGGGTCTGAAGAGCGCTGTCGAGTCCGGTCGGATGTGGTCTGGGCTAGGCCGGGCTGGCTCGGCTCGGCTCGGCTCGGCTCGGCTCGGCTCGGCTCGGCTCGGCTCGGCTCGGCTCGGCTCGGCTCGGCTCGGCTCGGCTCGGCTCGGCTCGGCTCGGCTCGGCTCGGCTCGGCTCGGCTCGGCTCGGCTCGGCTCGGCTCGGCTCGGCTCGGCTGGGCTGGGCTGGGCTGGGCTGGGCTGGGCTGGGCTGGGGCTGGGCTGGGCTGGCTGGGCTGGGCTGGGCTGGGCTGGGCTGGGCTGGGCTGGGCTGGGCTGGGCTGGGCTGCGCTGGGCTGGGCTGGGCTGGGCAGGTCCGGTTCGGTCCGAAGCACCACCGCGGCGCCAGCCGTCTGTGGAGCCCGCTTTTGTTCCGTCACGGCCGGCTCCGTTCGGGCTTGGCTCGCAGGCTCACTAGCCGGGTGAGAGCGAGAACAGGCCCTTCCCCGAAACGGCGGAGGGGCGTGTTCACCACTGATGTGCAGCGCTGCTCGCGAAGGCTCTCTGCACGCCAGTGACCCGTAGGTCCGGTATCTCCGCGGTCATCGTCACCGACCGAGGGAGCTGGTCACGAGCCAATTAGACCTGGTGTGTACAGACTGTCCCTCGGATATGTTTACATCCGAAAAGTTTCCGCGGGCGCGGTCGGTGGAGGATCATTATCGTGTCCATTATCGAGCTCTGCCCATAGTCGACGTACAGTGATACGCTCGAAGAAGTCACAGCGTTTCTACACCGTGAGGACCGTGGTCTGTGGGACACCGTCCATTACGCTGTCCGCCCAAGACAGCAGTATATCAGGTTTGTTTGTGTGTGTTACAACAACGGTCTGGAAGCGATTGTCTCTTACACTGTCGGCCTATGGCAGACACGCGTCCCTATTTGGAACCACGTCAGGTTCGGCGTTGTGCGCCGCGCTGTCTGGCCGTCCGCGTCGGTGAGTGGCGGCGCCGTGCGGTGTCCAAGCGGTCTGTCCGGCGCGCTGTCCGGCCGTCTGCATCGGTGAACGGCGGCGCCGGGCGGTGTCCCGAGTGGTCTGTCCGGCGCGCTGTCCGGCCGTCTGCGTCGGTGAACGGCGGCGCCGGCGGTGTCCGAGTGGGCTGTCCGCCCCGCTGTCCGGCCGTCTGCGTCGGTGAACGGCGCCGCCGGGCGGTGTCCGAGTGGGCTGTCCGGCCCTCTGCGTCGGTGAACGGCGGCACCGGGCGGTGTCCGAGTGGGCTGTCCGGCGCTCTGCGTCGGTGAACGGCGGCGCCGGGCGGTGTCCGAATGGGCTGTCCGGCGCTCTGCGTCGGTGAACGGCGGCGCCGGGCGGTGTCGGAGTCGGCTGCCGGCGGCCGTGCCGGAAAACCCTCGGCTTATGCAGATCAGAGTCGGCTTGACGCTCCGGCTGGCAGCTCCGCAGCGATGGTCTGTGGGACGTTCAGGCTGCGCTTCCAACTTATCAGCTGGCAAACGAGACCTATTGTCTCAGCTTTTAATCAAAATCCGCTGTCGGGATTCGATTCCAGGCCGATTTTTTTTAGGAGAGGCAACTGTTTCGCAAGAGGCTAGGAGGAGGGCTAAACCAATTGGAGTGCCGAACCTTATGGTTTTGTGTAATCGTCTTGTTCTGTATTCATTGAAGTGAAGTTAATGGCACGAATCAGTTTTGGTAATTCCAGAACTTTTCTGGAAACGCCCTTCAGCTGGCGATAAAGCAGGGAAAACGTTGGTGAAATATTGCCGTTGTCGTTTATGTCCGCCCACTCGGGAGCCGGCGTCTGACGAAACTTTTACCCGGTTGCGGCCCGCTATTACCCGCCCGAAGTTGGCCCCGACCGTCGTCGACGCCGGGCATTTCCCTCTCGGAATTGGCAACAGGGCCGGTTTCTAACCGGGCGCAGCTCGTGCGGTTACAGCGCCGCCAGACGTGCATCGTGAGGAGGAGTTCATGAACTTCCGGTTCCCGTTACGTCGAATCGAGCCGAAGCCCGTCCGCGAGAAGGAGACATGACGGTGCTTACACGGTACACCGACGGCATGTTCGCATCACTCGGACGTCTGACCGGTGCGCATGTATCGTCCTCCTTGTTGTCTTCGCGTGCGCTGGCAGACAAAGTCGAGTGGTCCCCTTTTGATGCGCGCGGACAGAAGTGAAAGGCACGGTTTGCGCGCCTCTCCCGCTGCACCGAACAGCCTCCGTGGCTCTCGGAGATTGGCGAGCTGGCCAGGCTCGGAGCGTCCTGCCGGCGTGTCTGTGGTGTGAAAGGAAGGAGAATTCCCCGTTTGGGAAACACGCGAGGCCACGCATTATTGCGGCGGACGTGTGGTCTCGACGCTCTGAAGTTATGTTTTTAAGAGCTGCGTGCTACGATGCGCACAGAACCCTTTGAATACAGTGTACGAGATTTAGAGGTTGGCTTCATGCCTTGATAAATCACCCCGGCAACGGAGACCGAACCATAAATAATGCTCCCTGGTGCCAAGGCCAAGCTTTTGAAATAGTTATAGCTAGCGATTATCGTGTTCAGAACCTTCGCCGCTCCGCTCTCAGAAGTCAGGCGCCGGTGGCTTCTCCGGTTATCAGTGGACATGAAAAAGTGGCAGAAGAGCGTCTCATCTTTGATGTAATTTCGACGGTCCTTTCACCGATCGGACATGGTAATCAAAACATTGAACGCAAACACGGACGAACCTTTTTTGGTGCGCCGCTCCGGAGATGCGCGCGCGGCCGGCGCGGCGATGGACATCCGTTCAGACGCGTGCTGCATCGCGCGGGTCATCCCCAGCAGCGTCACCTGAGAGCGCGACCGTTCCGGTGCGTGTCACGTCGCACCGCCGCTCCTCGGGCCGGGCCGCCGCGCAGCGCTGTCGGGCCGATAACGGCCGGCGCGGGGCGGCTCCGCACCACGACGGCCACTAAATACGTAAATAAGTCACAGAAAGCGGCGCGCACGCGGCGCCGCCTAAGCAGCTGCGGCTCAACAGGCCATGTATCACTCGGCGGCGGCGGCGGCGGCCGGCCCACGCTCGCGGTGCGCTGCTGGCTATCGCTCACCGCCGGTCCGTGCTGGCTGGTCGGGCCAGCCTGGCCCGCTGCGACGGCCCGGCGCGGTCACCTGGCCCTCTGAGCGCTCGGTAGTGACGCACGGGGCGACCTGGCCCGCTGCGACGGCCCGGCTCGGTCACCTGGCCCTCTGAGCGCTCTGTAGTGACGCACGAGGCGACCTGGCCCGCTGCGACGGTCCGGCTCGGCGACATAAGTCATCGCTGCGTCAGCCCAGGCTGCCCGCAGCGGGGCCGTCTCAGCGGGCATGAGGCACCGGGCGACCTAGCGCGCCGTAATGGCGGCACCACGGAGTGACCCGGTGCGCGCCGACGACCTGGCGGCTCGCCTGGCGCGCTGTGGCGGCGCTGACCCAGCGGGTGACCTCGTCCGATGTGGCGGTACAACCCCCTCCCCTTCGCTCACCGGGCTGGCCGCGGTGTCGCACCGGTGTGATATGGCCCGCCGGCTGAGGCCGGCCGCACCAGCCTTGTTCGCTTAGGTGGCGCAACTGGTCGACCTGGTCCGACCTAGTGCCCCGTTTGAGTTCCCCATGCCCTTGTGTCGCACTGGCGGTGTCTGGGAACGATGTCGCCTTGTCATGCCGGTGTTGGTCTCTCAGGCTGTGCTGAGGTGCCGGCGGCAGTAACCTGTGGTTGCTCGCCGGTCACGCTGGTTCGCTGACTTATGGTATCCCCGGTGGTTGGATCAGTTGAAAAGGAAGAAATTCGCAAAAAAACCCTTGTTTTTGAGCTTGGGGGTTTTCCTCCCACCCAGACACGGCGAGAACCATTACGGAGACAAAGGCTGGCGCCCCGGCCGGTTTGATTTTCCTTCCCCACGTGTGATAGCCGCTGCTCGACTTTGACTCGAGCCTAATTTGCCTGTTTCCGCCGCCCCGCCGCGGCCACCGAGCCCGGGGCGTGGCAGGAGGCCGCCGAACGCGGCGCCCTCCCTGCCAATGTTTCCACCGCGCCGCACTCGCCGCGTCGCGTATTCAAAACAATGGCGGCGGCGGCACCGGCCGCCAGCCGTAATCGCCGCCCTCCCGCGGCGCCGCTGCGAGCTGTATGTCACGGGCTTCCGCCGCCGGTGCGCGGGGCTCTCCCGGCGCGCCGCCGGCGCCAGCCCGCGGACGAAGCCCGTCAGCGCCGCCGCCGCCGCCGCCGCTGACGGCCGGGCTGACCCGGCGCGGACGGAGCGCGGTGTTTGAGGCTCCGGTCGCCGGCTCCCGGCGATCGATCAGCGGGATCGCTTCTCGGCTGCGGGTGTTGTGATTGGTCCGGATCGGCGTGCTGGGGACGGGATTGGGTGCCAGCCGGACACGCCGGCTCGCCGCCAACACGCGCCCGGTGCGTGGCGCGCGCGGCCGCCGTCACAGGGCGGTGGCTTCGGCCCGTGTCCATGCCGGTCCCTACCCGGACCAGCCCGCTCCCAGCCCGGCCCGGCCCAGCCCGATCCCCAGCCTGGACGCCCGGCTTGGCCCGGTCCCTGCCCGGCCCGGCCCGGTCCCTGCCGCCCGGCCCAGCCCGGCCCAGCCCAGCCCAGCCCAGCCCAGGCCCAGCCCAGCCCAGCCCAGCCCAGCCCAGCCCAGCCCAGCCCAGCCCAGCCCAGCCCAGCCCAGCCCAGCCCAGCCCAGCCCAGCCCAGCCCGGCCCGGCCCTGGCCCGGCCCGGCCCGGCCCGGCCCGGCCGGCCCGGCTTCAGCCCGGCCCTACGCGGTCCCAGCCTGGTCCGGTCCGGCCCGGTCCGGTCCCAGTCCGGCTCGGTCCCAGCCCGGCCCGGCCCGGTCCCTGCCCGGCCTGGTCCCTGCCTGGCTGGCTACCGCATTCCCGTCCGTGTGAGCGTATGCAGAGCGATAGCCGCCCG